TAGGTACTTAAACATCCACCAACAGGAAAAAGGGTGGTTCCCTGTCCACTGGAACCACCACCTGCCCTGTCCTGCCCCTGAGCCGTGGGGAGACATAGAGGCATCTGAGAAGGCGTCTTGCAGGAGGGTGTTGTAGCGTCAGGAGAATGGCTAGTCTGGGGCCAGGGCAGGTGTGCCAACTCCCTAGGGACCCAACTCCTGGCCACTCTGGCCAGGTGAGGGACCCATGTCCACACCCCAGCCTCTCACTCCAGCAAGGTCCAGTCGCTTTTGCTTCCAGAAAGAAGAGATGCCCACCGGGAGTGAGCACGACCAAGCCTGGGGGTGAGGCAGTGCACCCTCCCAGGAACCACAACATGAATGAATTTTTCCCTGTTACATGTATTCTGACCTTTTTTTTTTAAGAAAAAAATCCATTTTACTAATTTTTTTATCAACTCATAGATGACTGGTACAGCTGGCGAGGGAAAAGGTCAAGGGGCCTGTTTCTGCCATCAGGGGTATGGGCCCGTTTCTGCCATCAAGGGTATGGGCCCCATGTGGCAGCTTCCCCGGCACCCTTCCCAGCTAGGAGTGCTGGTTGCTTCCTGCGGGTTTGGTTGCTGGAAGTTTGGTCTGGGGTCTGGGTCTTTGTTGTTCATTGTTCCCATGGTGGTTTTATCTTTAAGCTGAAAGCACAGTTAATACAGAAAAGGTGGGTCTGATGTGTCCTGGGACAGGAGCCAAGAGTATCCAGTGTGGATGGATGCAGGAGGGGATGAAAGAAAGGACCTCAGAGGGCAGGAGGGCAAGGCCAGTTGCCAGGTCTGCCCAGGAGCTGCTGGTGTCGGCGATGGACTTGATAGGAAGGCAAAGCCACCAGCATCTCCATTACCTGCTGTGCGCAAGTCATGGGTCCCGGGCAGCCCGCTCTGCCCATGGCAATGCCCTTATCTCTACCCCTGAGAACCCAGCAGAATGGGAGATCGGGACAGGACCCTCCCTCAGAAGGGTGTGGGGAGGGAGGACATCCCCATAAAGCTCTGAGCACATCATATGCCACAGATGGTAGCGGTCAATGTAGCCAGGCACTGTCCCTGTGCACTTCCCGCAGGCTACAGGTTGTGCAAGGGCAGGGCCAAGTTAGGATCCCCTGGCCCCTGACAGTGGATGGCCCTGCTTGGAGCAGGCGTTAGACAGAGGGACAAGTCCCCACTCGAGCCAAGGTGGCAGGGAGGAGAGAGGCAGGGCCAGGACACACACACACACACACACACACACACACACACACACCCGCCTGCACTGCAGCCCCTATTGTCAGCCCTGGGGCTCCAGCTCCCTCCTTGCTAAGCTGCATCTTACTTCATTATTATGCAGATATTTTAATTATGCAGATATGTTTTTAGACAGTTTTAAATATGTATATTATTTACTCATTAGACCATAACAGCTCCGGAAATTGGAAATCTGTATTTAGTACCTATCAGTGCACAATACAGAGCTAATACAGGGCAGGGAGGGAAGCCGAGTGGTGAGGGCGGCATTTGGGGGCCATGCAGAGACTGCTGGGCACCCTGGTGCTTTCCCCTCCCAAGATCTGTGCCCAGTGACACCAAGGTTCAGGGTGGGCTCAGAGCAGCATCTGGGAGTCCTGTTACTGATCCCCTCTCCTGGGGTAATGGCAAAGGTGCCACTCTAGGGGCAGGTGAGGAGCACCTGAGCCCAACCAGCCAGGCCCTTCCTGGCCAGACCTGGTTCTGCCCTGGGGCGTTCACTGTCCAACATGGGGGCCAGCCTGTGTTTGATGCCTCCAGCACTTCCTCAGCAGGGGCCTGTACAAAGGGGGGGACAGAGAATCCACCTCTTAGGGGTGTTGCCAGGGGTGGGAAGGGCGGGGAAGAGGCACAGTCTTCCACCTGTCATTGGATTAGCTAATCCAATGCCAGTCAGTGAAACCCTGGCCCAGGGTAGGTGCCAGGGGCAGTGTCTGGAGTCATCCTGTGTCACGACCTTCCTCCAAACCCTCCTGCAGGGTTCTCGGGCATCTCCTTGGTGCTGTGTCCTGTGCCCCTTGGGTCCAGGGCTTTATTCTAAACGTCTTGCATCCTCTTGGAAGAGGGGGTAACTGTAGCTGAGACCAAAAAACTCATCTCCCCTCTGGGCTGCACAGAGCAAACCCCCTTTCAGGCTGGGCCAGCTCTGGGGGAAGAAGGGGCCCCACAAAAGGATGAAAAGCCTGAGGGCTCCAGCGACCCCCATGCCCCGCTTCTCCCAGCATACATTGGGGGTCTGCCCTCCGGGTGTTGGCCTCTCTGAGGGGCACCCACCATGGCCCAGGTCCCTTATTGCAGGTCATCGTCTGTCTCAGCTCCCTGGCAATTGAAACATGTTAAACTTAGTGAAATTTGAAGGTGTCTGTGGAGGGGGCTGCTCCCCAGGGGAGCTCTCTCCCCACCCAGCACCCCACCAGCCCTCTTTCTTGCCTTTTCCTGTAAGAACAGTTTCCAGAGCTGAGGGAAATTGAGTAAGTGAAACTCTGATAGTTGCCTCTGAAACGCCCATTGTGATAGACTTGGCCGTGAGCAGCCCTGCTCAGCAGTCCCACCGCAGTTCCCTCCAGTGCCTTGACCGTGACGGGAACACCACGGGCCAGGCCAGCCACCATCAGCAACGTCGTAGCAGCTTCCCCCTCCTGAGCAGCCCTGAGCGTCCAGGATATGATGAGGGAAAGGGGCTCAGAGAGGTTAAACCACACACCTAGGGTCACACAGCTGGCAGGGCAGAGCAGGACTCAAGCCCAAGCCTCTACCCAGGTTCAGAGCCACTCTGACCTTGATTTAGCAGATGTACATTGTGTACCTACTATGTGCCAGGGACCAGGTTACTGTAAACTCGACAGCTGCAAGATATGGCCCCCACCAAGCTCCAAGCTCAAGAGAAAGCAGACGAGGCGGAGGTTCTCTGAGTGCCGTGATGGGGACAGTGGGGGCTTGGCAGGGCTCAGGGAGTGGTTCAGAGGAGAGTGAGCTCTGCGCTAACACCTCAGGGGTGAAGGCATGAGCCAGGCTAGAGTTATCTGGGCAGGAGTCCACAGGAGGGAGCAGAAGGTGCAGGGCCTGGTAGCAGGAGAGCCAGAGACTGCAGGTGGCCCCAAGAGCAGAGCCCGGAGCCCAAGCAGGGAGCCAGTCCCAGAGGAACAGGCCCTCGGGGTCGGGAATGGGAAGGGAGCATATCTCCCCAGACAGAAGTACTGCCCCACCTCCGCCCCGCCCTGCTGGGGGCCTTGGTAGGTTGTCCCCTTACCTCTTGGCCTGTTTCCTTCCCCATTCTTCCTGCCCCCGGGCCATAAGGAGGACCTAGGAGAGGTGGGAGGAAAGCTCCTAGAGGATGAACCTTGGGGCAGGAGGTGGGGGTAGACAGGAGCTCAACGCTCTGAGTGCCTGCCAGGGAGGGGGGGAGCCCTTGGGCTGGGGAAGGGCAAAGGGAGGCTTCCAGAGGAGGTGACCCGATCTGATGGGCTGGCTGAGATGGCGGGGAGCACGTCCCAAGCAGGAGTGGGTAACAGAGGAAGGCCCTGGGGTGGGCAGGAGCCTTGGTGCTTAGAGCCAGCGAGAGGAACCCAGGGGACCACTCCCTGTGGGCAGCTTCTGGGGTTTGGAACAAGGGGGCTGTCAAGAACCTACCCACTCTCTGAGTGGGTCCAGTTACTATTTCCAATTTACACCCAGGAAATTGAGGGCAGGGAAAGCCCCTTGCTCAAAGAAGGCAGGATTTGAACCCAGGCCAGGGCTCCAATGCTCCAGGGTCGAGGCTCTGCACCCCAACTCGGGGCCCCTCAGGCATGCCCGTGGGTGGTCCCAGCCCTGCCACCCTCTTGTCCTCACGCCTGACTGGGCACAGGCAGCCACAGCTGCCCACTCCACCGTCATTCACGTGCCCAGCCCTTCCTGCCGCACCGCCAGGCCTGTGTGTTTAGCAGTTTCCACACGTTCAGCGCCCGGGGATGCTCTGATTGATCTGTAACACCGAAAAAATAATAATGGCTTGATCGTTACTGAGGATTAAAAGTAATCCTTTTGCTGTGGCTATTGCAACTCTGTTATTCACGAGTCAGCGGGCTGACCCGGGCCTTTGAGCCCGAGGGACTCCGTGAATTCAGGGAGGCTGGTTGCCAGGGGCCCCCTCCCCCTGGGGCTCCTGGCCCTTACAGCCCATGTTCCTGGGGCCTGACTTCTCAGGTCAAGGCTGAGCCCTGAGAGGGTAAGGAAAGGGGCGTGCAGCCATTGCTCAAGGCTCCCCCTTGCGGTGCAGCCCCAGGGGCTGCTCCTTAGGCTTCACCCCCTCTCGTCCAGGCCAGAGGCTGAGCTTGTGTAATAGGTGCTCAGTTAACAGTAATGACAAGTGTTGTTAACCATACACGTCACACAGTGATGTCCTCTGCAGAAGGGCACTGCAGGCTTGTGAATGAGGGGCCTCGCCTATCCTGGGGGACTGTGGTTTAGGCGGAAAGGAGGCCCCAGGATGGAAAGGGAGGGGCAAGAGTTGGGGCATCAAGAAAGCTTTGCCTTTTATTTTATTTTTCATTGATTCTAGAGAGACAGGGAGGGAGAGGGAGAGAGAAATATCGATGTGAGAAAGAAACATCCATTGGTTGCCTCCCATGTGCCCCCTGACAGGGGATAGAACCGGAAATCTGAGTATGTGCCCTGACCCGAGACCCTTTGGTGCATGGGATGGCGCTCTAACCACTGAGCTACACCAGCCAAGGCGAAAGCTTTGCCTTTTATATATAGAGTCATTGGAAGCTGCCAAATGATGGGCCAGGCTTGTCTGGACAGAGGGAGAGCCCTGCTGGGAAGGGGCTCGGAAGCCGGAACAGGGACAGAGTGGTGGGCCGGGGGGGGGCAGAGGTGGACTGTGGGCAGAGGTGCCTGATCGAGGCACTCTGCCACTTGGCGCATTTCACCCTTGGCTTGAGAGGGCCTTCCTCAGCCTCTGACCTCCCTACCCTCTGTCCTCAGAGACTGGCTGATGCTGCAGAGACCTTCCAGAAGGCCCACCGCTGGCAGGACAACATCAAGGTAAGACCTACAGTGCCCTCCTCAGCCCTGAGCACCTGCCCACCCCTGGCAAGAGTGGATGTGAGTGGGGGCAGGCTGCCCAGGCCCACTGAAGAGGCAAAGAAGCCTCTTGACTCCAGGACTCCTCCAACTTCAATACACTGACCTGAAAGAGACACTGGGGGCGGAACACTAACCCTTTCCCAGGACCTCCCTAAGCAGCAGCCCATCTTCCAGGAGCCCTCGGGCTGGGATCAGGGACCAGCCTCCCTTCCACTGGTGGAGCTGGGACAGAGCTCAGACACCAAGGGGTAAAGGTGTGAGGAGCTGGTCAGAGGACTCCTCTAGAGCATCCGAATGTGGGGGGGGGTGCCTCACCGGCCCAGGCCTCACGCCCAGGTGACCTCATAAATTCAGGCAGCTGTTTTACTCGAGCTGGGCTGGATACCCCTGCACCACTTCTGTCAGGCCAGCATCTCAGGGGGTCACAGGAAGCTAGGGACTAAGGTAGGGTTCCTCCCAGACTCGGGGAACCCTCAGTGCCAAGGATAAGGGAACCCTCAGGGACCAGAGCAGCAGTCAGGACTCGCCATGTTCTTCCACGGCTGCTCAGGTGTCGGGACCATGCCTCCTGGTGGCCTCTGTGCTAAACACAGGAAGAGGCACTGAGAGCTGTCCCTGGGACCCTTGAGGAGAGTAGAGGTGGGGCAGGACCTGGCCCACCTAGGGGAGAGGTGGGATCGTTACCCTGCACTTAGTTGTTTCACCTGCCTGAGGTTACCTGCTGGTGGGGTATCAGGTGCCAGTGGGTTCTGTCTGGTCCCCTCCCCCCCTCCTTGGCCTGATATGCCTCCCCCCCAGCTGTGGGTGTGACCACAGGGCCAGCTGCCCCACCCTCAACCCATCAGTTTTCCTGTCTGTCTGTCCCGGAGGTCTCTTGGGCAGGGTGGAGCTGTAGTCAGCCCCTCCCCAGATGCAGGGTCAGGGCCTGCTCTTCCCCAGCTACCAGGCTGAAAGGCACTTAGTGCTAATGGGGGCCCATTAGCTGACACAATGCCAGCCCTGCCCGGGCTGCCAGGGAGAACTGGCCACAGCTGCAGGTGGGGACTGGCCAGGCCAAGGGAGATATGGGGACTTGAGACTGGGGGAGGGATGATGTTTTTTGTCCCTTGCAGGCACACCACCCACCCTTGAAACTATGTCCTTCCCAGTGACCTTCAGAAGGTGATAGATAAGGGGCCATGCACTCAGGAGCACCCAGCCTGTGCCACAACCCCAGTGTCAAACTCAGGCCCTTTAGGAAAGTCCATCCATGTGCCTAGCTGGGGCCCCTGTGGACAGCGTGACCAGGGGCAGCTGGAGATTGGTCTTCTTACCTCTGAAATGGGGAGGATGACTCCCCGAAGTTCTGGGCACAGAGGAGATACTTGGTCCACGGGGGCCAGACTGGAATCCACTGCGTAATCAGTAGGGTGTGGCTCTCCCTGTGTCAACAGTACACAGTAGGTCTACATGTAGGCTTCTGAGAAACGGACAATGGTGTACCCTTATGCACACACACACCCTGTCAACTCCAGCCTGGGGACTTAGGGGTTCCTATAGTCTACAGGGTCAGAGCTGGGACAAGAGAGGGAAGGGGAGATGTCTGGACATGAAGCCCCCCTGCTCTCCTCCCCAGTCCCAGGTCATGACCTCACACACCTGGCCATGGCAGGGGCAGGGAACCTGCGGTCATAGCCCTTGGGCACCAGGGAAACCACAGCCCTTGTTAGCAGGCAGCACCTCCCATAGCCCTGCAGACAGCAGCAGGTGAGGTGCTCTGGTGCCCACAGCACAGGATAGATGACGGATGGCCCACCTGTCGGACAAAGTCCCTGGCACCAGCACCTCACTGTGCCATCTTTATCTGCCATCTAAACCGCCACCAGGAAGGAACTGGGCCCTGGTACGGGTTGAGGAGTCAGGGGAGGCCATTGGCCCCAGGACCTCATTGCCAACAGCAGGACCTATGGGAGGCAAAGCCCTGCCCTGGGAGTCTAATAGAGGGCGCAGTCCTACCCCAGGGAGTCTGATGGGGGAGATACAGCCCTACCATGGAGAGTCTGATGAGAGAGGCAGTGCTGCCTGGGAACCTAGAGCGAGGGCTGTGATGGCTAGGCCAGGCCAGAGGAGCCAGCTGGGCAGGACAGGTGGCCTCCCCAGCCTGAGGTCTGCCCCCGCCATCAGGCTGGCTGCCTGCCTTCCTGCCAAGCCGGCGACAGACGGCTCTCTCAGAAAACAATCCTCTTGGCTGAGTCGAGCTGGTGGAGAGCCAGGGCAGGAAGACTAAGCGTCCTCACTGGTGAGGCCGGGTAGCTGGCCTGCGCCCTGCGCGGAAGCCTGGTAGGCAGGCGGCAGTCAGGGCCGGCCAGGCCATGACATCTGCCTTCCAGGGCACCAAAGTGCTATTCCCTAGGCCCCTCCATGCTCCCATCCTCACCTGTCCCCTGCCTACCAACCCCTGGTGCCCTCTCTCGGGCCAAGCTACAGCTAAGGAGAGTATATGTGTCATCTATACAAGGGCCCCGGGCCCCACAGCCCCACCCCTCACATGTCATCTGTGTACAGAAATCCGTGTGGGGGGAGGTGTGAGCTCAGAGGAGTTGATTCCCTCATGCCTGCCCAATTTGAGCAAAACGGCCCCTTAATCATCGGTGAGATGAAGCGGTGCCTGGGAGTCTTCATGGGGTCACTGGGGTCTGCACTCACTGCTTGGGATCCCAGAGCTCACATGTTCAGGTCAAGATCAAGGCCAGGGCCCTTTGCCAAGGCCCCTGGATGCCATCGCTGGGTGCTGCTGCCTCCTTGTCTAACCCAGAGGTGGGCACTCTGTGCAGCCAAAGCAGACAGAGGCCTTTCCAGGGACCCTCCCGCCCAGCCCCTGATGGCCCCATCCTGCCACAGCCCTAGCTGCACGTCTCAGCAAGCATAGCAACCACAGCTGTGTTTACCATGATTTTCACGTTCGGCCTTGCCCGCCACCACCCTCCACCAAGGAAGGACATGGGCTCGCCCTCCAAGGTGGGAGAGGTGGGGAGGAGCCCTGCCCACCTGCACCCCAGGCCCTAGAGACGAGGACAGCGGCATACAGACTCCTGAGGCTCACCCGTGGTCTGCAGGGGGCTGAGATCCTCCTGGGTGACACGTTCCCCCTGTGTCCTTGATGCCACCAACATCTGATCCTCTGCTGAGACTGTGAATCAAAACAAAGAAGCCATTGGAGCAGCTGGAGGGGTG